CTGCCACGCCAATAAAGATGGTAGAGCCGGAGAAGGACAAACCGGTTAGTACAACTGCCAAGCTTGCAATTGCCATTGATGAAGCCATGTTGAGGTTGCTGCTACTTCGGATGGCCATCTTGACTCGAATATGGAAGAGAATTGTGATACTAATGATTCTGAAAATGACCAGTATGTCAAGAAAACCACAAAAAAAGTAGGAAGAGAAAGGGTGAGACAAATGAGAAGTATAAAAGACGGCTTGGAAGAATAATTGGAAATGAAGGTAAAATAATTCTTGGATGGGGAAGCTACGGCTTCCTTAGATGGGGTGGATTTTTATTTAATTTGTGATTTGTGAAGTGGGGACTGTCCCATTATTTTGATGCATTATATTTAGGTTAGTTTATTCTAGCTTAGATAGTCATTTGGATTTGGATTTGGATTTGATGCATTGTAAAATGCTATTTTTGGGTGGCTTATATATACTTACATTTCATCCAAAAAACAAGTAGTCCAACACTATTAAAAACATTAGCGTCCGTCTACGGTACACACTAGGGGTGAGATTTTGGAACCGGGAACCGTAGAATCGGTTGGAACGTAACCGAACCGTTATAACCTGGTTTAGTTCGATTCCTATAAATGTTGTATTAGTTGTTAACGGTTCGATTCCTAATTGTTACTAACGGTTCAGTTCTTGGTTCCTATAAAAATATGTGCACGAAGTTGTAAAGGAATCGTTATTAATAAATAAGAATCCAAATAATAATAGTGGTGGTAGTGATAATAATAACAATAGTATCAACAATAACAATAATAAGTACAACCAATGATATTTAGCCAACAATTCTTATTTAACCAACGAAAACAAAAGTAATCAATATTGCACATGAGATTGAATACATTAAGTTCATTTTTACAAATCAAGTTTTGTTACATCACATATTATATTATATTATATTATATTATATTATATATATATATATATATATAATAACTCAAATAATTTGTGGTTGATTTACTTCACCATCTTCATGATATTTGTAACTACTAGATTTAATGTAAATTATACTACTTGCAAATAGATTGTAATGATTCTTTTATAACTATACATGCAAACTCAATTTATTTTTTTAAGTTTTGAAAGACTTAGAGAGGGCGTCCTATATTGCTATTGTCATGAAGAACAACTTTCATTGTTATCACATAACTACAATTTTTATGTTTTACTAATTAAATGAAAATTGAAAATTTCTTTTATTTTATTATTAAATGTTCACATACTTATGTTTGACCTTTGATGTTTAAAGTCATTAGAACTTTAATTAAAACTAGTTACTCCACCCGTGCGTTGCACGGGAGTGAAATACATACATCAAAATTAAAAAGCTTGACATGCAATTGATCAATTAACTGGATAAATCAAATAAAATAAGTCCATATTTAGTTGGAAATTAAAAAATAATGCTTTTAGTGAATATAAATCATCATCCGATAAAATAGGTGTACATGTATGTCCAAGTAACTGTGTAAAGAAACTACAAATTAGTGAAATTACTGTAAATATACCACATTAACATAGACTTTGTTGGTACGTTGTTTGTCTTCATCACATATCACAAATTTAAATTCAAATCGACTTGTTACTCACAATACTACCACATATAATTGTGCACACACAAAAACATGCTAATGCAATATTGATTACTTTTGTTTTGTTAGGTTAAATTAGAATTGTTGGCTAAATATCATTGGTTGTACTTATTATTGTTATTGTTGATACAATTGTTATTACTATCACTACCACTATTATTATTTTTATTTTTATTTATTAATAACGGTTCCGTGCACATATTTTTATAGGAACCAAGAACTGAACCGTTAGTAACAACTAACATCATACCCGTGCAACACCCGTGCGATGCACGGGACAAACAATATTTTGTATTTGCGGAAGCTCTTTCGTGAAATAAAATTAAAATACTACTAATGAATGATTGATTAGTAATATATGTAGAATATGATAAAAAGAGCATGTATGTGTGGTGATATTAAATAGAAATCCATAGCACCATAAAAGATAGAAATCCAAAACTAAAAATCAAATAAAAAAACTACGTGAATTTAAAAAAAAAAGTTTGGACGTTTATGTTAAATTGTTAAGTAGACCAATTCATTCAGATTTTGGCCCAATAAAACTTCCTTCACCACGATCGTATTAATTATTTAACAATATTAAATTTCCAAATGAGTATAATTATTTACGTAATAATATTTTATTTGATGTTTTACAGTTGACATTCCACTAAATTATTGATTCTTTATCTTTATTATATATTTCATTAAGTGATTCTTGTGTTATTAGACCGAAGGATGAATGTAATGTGAATGTGATGATACTGTTACAAAAATCATTGTTACAGGAGCATGATTATTCAAAGTCTAACGTGTTCGGATTTGTACATAATTATCTTAAAGAAAAATGAACATATTACATAGCAGCATAGGAGTATTTGGTTATAGACCAATTTGATTAGTTACTCGAGATAGAAGCATGTATTTGGTTATACATAAAGATTGATTCTCCCAATACAACCCTGCATGGGACAATAATTGTCCTTAAGTCATGATCGATGGGTTAGACGTCTCTGAAACTTGAATGACAATATTACTCTCGTTGAAGTTAATATGTTCGATGATGTTTACTAAAAAAACTACATCTCATGATGTCAATAAAAGCCTTGATGTTTACCATATGTATTATATATATACTCCGTAAATGATTGTTGACTACATTTTCAAAAATCCATATTTTTCACGTGAGATATTGAGTATAGTTAGTAGTTTAAGATGGTGTTTAAGATACAACTACTATTTAAACTAAGCAATTTTAGGGAAAACTGTCAAATAGGTTCTCGAACTTTAATTTTTGAAGATAATTGTGCATTTTTGTGTTCTCGAATTAATTTGAATGCGCTCCCGATTACATTTTTAGCTGAAATTTGGTATGAGTAAACTAGACTTGATGAATACGATGCTCAAAAAATTTCATCAAACAATTCCACCGGGAACCGCCCCAAATCGCGACGACCGGACAAAGTCTCCTATAGGACTTAATTGACTTTTTTATGAAAGTTCGAGAACCTATTTGACAGTTTTCCCCAATTTTAAAGCTAAACATTGAAAAATGATGATGTGCTTTATATAACTTTTCACTTTTTCTTACTTTATTTGCCAAACACTAACACCTTTTAATTTGAAGGTCATTTTTTGTCAAATATTATATACCCTTAAAAAATCATTTTAAAGAAATTACTTTCTGAAATAGAAACAAGTCAAACAACCCAACACTAACACTACGTACCTACGTGTAGTACGTTTCAATGATCCAAAATTTCTAACTCAAACTTTTGTGGAAATACTTAGTGCGAAGTGTATATATGCATCTAAAATATACTCCGTACCTCAGATCAAAACGCAATCCCATGTGTTACACACATTTTTTTGCTGAATGCTCATATCCGTAACAATGGACGACTCCAACTCTAGCAGCATAGTTTCTTTTTTGTGCCTACCTCATAGATTTTGCCCAACAACGGATAGAGTCATTGAGATGATTAACCAACGCTAAAAGAAAGTCACATCTTACCATATCACCTCCATAATAACCAGCCCCAAATTTGAAAATTCTTTGTATTTTTAATCTAAAAATTTATGTGAAAAAAATTATCTGAAAAATTCTTTATACCGGCCCAGCCCAACCTTCAATCCTAGCTACGCCCCTGATAATAACTTGCATAAACAAATCCATCCATTAAAACGATAGAGACATAGTCAGACCTTGGAAGTCTTGAACATTTCACCTCCATATTTGTGGGATAATAATGGAACAAAGCGCCAATTATTTACTGTTATTGAATTGGATGGATGCTTTAAGTTGGTTATGAGCAGGTCGGTTATATATTGTAAGTTGTGATTGAAAATCATAAGCGGAAGTTTCAACACTACTCCACATAAACCAATATATGGATCGGAGTCAATTATTTATTCAGTAGATACATGTGTAAGATGCTAGTTAATTTTCAATTGCTGATAGCGTAAATAATTTTCATTGTCTTTGGAAATTCCCAAAAAACGTGGGCACGTTGGTCGCAAGTTATACCACAGGCGGGAACAGGTTTTTGACATACGATCCAGTTTTTATATACTACATCGGTTCTTAAATAAGTGCAACATTGCAAATTTTACACTATACACATGTTATACTTTGACTACATTTTATTTATTGATGTATTAATATATATTTTTGAAAAAAAATATTACTAATTTTGTCTCATTGTAAATTTTCAAATTCTAATTTTTTTAATTTTTTTTACTAATAGAGAGTTATATATATTAATAGTCAAAGTTGTGTCTCGGCAAATGTGAAATGTTGACTGTTGCACTTATTTAAGAACGGAGGTAGTATATAATAAAGATTAGGAACCGAGCTAAACCAAGTTATAACGGTTCGGTTCCAACCGGTTCTATGGTTCCTGATTCCAAAATCTCACCCTAGTGTCTACTATAGACGGACGCTGATTTTTTTTAATAGTGTTGGACTACTTTTCGTTATACATTGGTGCCTCCAATTATGGCTTTAAAAGGTGGCCCACTTGGGCCGACCTTTTACCTTTTATTTTTATCTAGCTGGTTCCAATTTGCAGAATTCTTCCCTAAATAATTTCATGCGGCCCAACAATTTTGCTTCGACGGGAACAGTTATGTACACACGGTTCCCTAGATATATAGATGCATAGATTACTTATTTAATATTTAGTCACTTTTTGTCAAAATTAAGATCTAGTCATACATTTGTCTAATAAAACTATAGAAGTAATCCCATAGTCATTATTTTGTTAAATGTCCCACATCGAAAAGATTTGGATGAATAAAGTTCTATATTAATACATGGGCTACTCCTCCTAATAAGGATTGACCTTTTAGGTTGGAACCCCAGGTCTTAACATTGTATCTGAGCCAATTCGATCCATGGTGTGAGGCCCCTTATGAACCGTGATGACACGATTATAAAAAATGACAATTACGGCCGGATGGAAAAAAACGAACCGATAAAAAAAATTAATGATGACACGATCCAGACGAAGTGTATGGTCGTGAGGAGAGGTAGGTGTTAAATGTTCCACATCGGAAAGATCTGAATAAATAAAGTGCTATATTCATACATGGGCTACTCCTCCTAACATGGTTGACCTTTTAGGATGGAGCACTAAGTCTTAACATATTTTCATGTAAAATGTGAGAATTAAAACATAAAAGTAACGGAAATTGTCCTAAATAGGACTAATAAGTTCCTAAAAAGCACAAATAGGACTACTATTTTTAAAATTCCCTAAATAGGACTAAACATTGATTTTCTACCCTAAATACCCCTAAAAGTATTAATTCATAATGAAATGCTTTAATTCATAATAAAATCATAAAAAACGTAAAAAATATTTAAAAAAACGTAAAAAAATTATAAAAAATTTATAAAACATTTATAAAATAAAAAATTTAATTTTTTATTTTTTTATTTTTTTTTAAAAAATAATAAAAAATAGTAAAAACCCATAAAAATGAAAAAAATTATGGATACCTTTCTCACCGCCTCCCGCCTCCCGCCGCCTCCCAGCACCACCACCTCCGATTGGTGAAATTTCTTCCACTTTTGGTAAAAAAATATCATATTTTTCTGAAAATGCCAAAAAGATGGCATAATTACTCTTCAATATGCCAACATTTTCATTGAATATGCCATCGTTATGGCATTATTTAAAATGTTGGCATATTTTTCTCCGGTGATGGGAGATGGTGGTGCTGGGGGGTGGCAGGGGGTGGTAATGTTTTTTTTTTAATTTTATGATTTTTTTTATTTTTTTTTTATTTTTTTTAAAAAAATATTTTTTTTATATTTTTTTAAATTTTTTTTTTTTAATTTTCTATTATTGTTTTACGATTTTTAGCAATTTTTTCGATTTTTATTAATTTTTTTATGATTTTATTATTAATTAAAACATTTCACAAGTTACAAGGGTATATTTGTCCAAACACATATAAATAGTCCTATTAAGGGAATTTAAAAAATGTAGTCCTATTTGTGCAATTTTGCCACTTTTTAGTCCTATTTAGGGAATTGACTCTAAAAGTAATCCACTCACACACACACAAAAAAAAGTAATCGATCTAATGAAGCAACATTAAAGCCTCTGTTGAGGACTTTGGGAAGGCATGCACGGTTTGGCTTATTTTCATGAAGTCATCTCTATCTTGAACATTGAACCATATTTCCATTTTTTGTAGAGCTGGTGTTCTCTCCAAAAGTATTTGGGCCAAAGTCCTGATGGGATCACCACTTGAATCTCCCACCACGTTCATTAACTTGATAAACTTCAAATTTATAAAATCGCCATTGCACTTCTCCTTTGCTAGTTGGGTCCAGTTGTCCTCTAACTGGAATGAAAATAAACGACAAACTTATATTTAATAATGTTGAGCAAACAAAATTTATCATAAAGTAGTTCACACTTACCATTTGCGGATAATCACAACTTATGATCAAAGTGTCAATGGTTGGAGAAGCATTTAGAATGACTAGAGTACACAGAGGTAAATCTAGAGAACTCAGAAGGGTTTGTTTAGCATCCCATGCAACATCCATTCTCAAGCACCTAATGTTCCCTGTTGGAAGCTGCCAACCGTGATCCAAAAGTTTTGATACAACCTAATTTCAACAAGTAATTAGTGATCAGTCCAAATATACTTGGACTACACCGTTGTTCGCTTTGTTTCTGTCAATTTGCTAAACCATGACTAATCACCGCATACTCCATTCACAATATTACTATAACTGCCTGCACCTGAACTTCAAAAAAATGCAAACACCTTACAATTATTATGACCTAATGACACAGTCAAAATTCTTAAACTACTTGAAGCAGAGATTATTTGGTGTGTAAAAAACAATTGTGCACACCTTAAACCCGGTGAAGATTTATAACAAAATGTACTCATGTGTTGTTATATACAGATATACTTGTATTTGAAAATATATTGTGTAGAAACGAATTGAGGAACACTTCCTCTTGCTACTTGCTATTTTAAATTCTATTTTGGATAAAAATCAGGGAATGTAGGGAATGTTCATGATTACATATTCAGATATTCTACCACTGTTAATTCTTCAATAGAAAGATGAGAACTTGGATACTTTTCAATCTTTCATAAAGTGTAGCCTCAACAAAAAATATTTGTCTTTGTCTTAAAAGTAATGATTTTACGTCCTAAAAACATCATCAATATTTAACCTAAATATAATCTAAATAAATAAGTAGCACCTTGATGTTAAGTAATGTCTTATATCCGCATAACTACCCACTAATAAATGACACCTCGAAAATAAAATATTCTCTTGTAATCCTAAAACCTGAAATGTTTGTCTACTATGAAGGAATATAAAAAGTGGAGTTCAGGCTGGGCAATACATGATTCATATCAAGGTTTGGAGTTTAAAATGTAAATAACATTGTAGTTATAATCAAATGTAAAACTGCCTCAAACAATATGTATGGCGTAGGGTTCAGGCAACATAATTGCACATCAAGATATTTGCATATCAAGATTTGCAGTTTGAAATGCAAATAACATTATATTAAGAAAATGTAAATCCGCCTAAAGCAATACATACATATGACATAAGATTTAGGCCTGCATATAAAAAAAATGGTTTTTCAAATGCATATAACCTTGTACTCATATGTCTCACTTTGTTTTACTTCAACTGGGAGTTCTTTAGGTCATAGTATTTGGTAGCTTCAATTAAGAATTTTTATTTTCATGGGCAATACATGATTCATATCAAGGTTTAGAGTTTAAAATGTAAATAACATTGTAGTTATAATCAAATGTAAAACTGCCTCAAACAATATGTATGGCGTAGGGTTCAGGCAACATAATTGCACATCAAGATATTTGCATATCAAGATTTGCAGTTTGAAATGCAAATAACATTATACTAAGAAAATGTAAATCCGCCTAAAGCAATACATACATATGACATAAGATTTAGGCCTGCATATAAAAAAAATGGTTTTTCAAATGCATATAACCTTGTACTCATATGTCTCACTTTGTTTTACTTCAACTGGGAGTTCTTTAGGTCATAGTATTTGGTAGCTTCAATTAAGAATTTTTATTTTCATGTGAAATAAAACACCATATAAGAGTTGAGTCCATTTTTAATTGGAGAGTTTAACAATTCAAAACATCGGGACAATAGAACTGTTCCGCATATAAGTTCATTTCAGTACATTAACCCAAGACCCCACTCAAATGTGTAGCAAACTCAAGTAGCTTTATCTTCTATTATGGTTCTTAAGTAGCTTTATCTTCTACTCAAGTAGCAAACCCAAAAAAAAGAAAGAAATACCTGAATAGAAGCATCTTGTAAATGCAGCTCTTGAATGTGATGGATCTCTTCAAAGAAGGTCTCCGTATCAAAGAATACAGCTTTTGGTATGACTTTATCCATGCCGATGAAGTTGTATCCTACGCTCACTAGTGAGGAGCAAGGTTGTAGATGAATTTCTCTTTTCATATGATACACCAACAGATCCACATATTTTATATGTGGTGCTGAAATGGTCAAGACTGGCTCAAGATCTATTTGATCCTCTGGGTCCCTCAACACTAGATCATGTAGGTTTGTGGAGTTAATGGTCAAATGGGTAAATCCCCAACACTGGTGCAATTGCAAAGATGATAATCGTGGGGAGGCCAAGAGTATATTGTCCATGACAAGTTGGGATATCTGGACTCCTGAAATTTGGAGTTTTATCAAAGAAGGCCATTTAATTTTTCCCTCAGGTGGTTGTATATTACAAAATTCCAAAGATAATGAAACTAGAGATGAACTAGTATACATGATCTTTGGAAGTATGTAGGGATGCCTTTCATTCTGAATCCTCAATTTCACAGTTTGCACATTCCTCTCACACCCAAAATCTATCCAATGATCAACGTCTGGTACAGAACAATCATTGAAGTTGATTGTAAGCTTTTCAAGTTTTTTTCCCTTACAAGCACCAATTAGCCTGTTCATCCCGTCAACAAATTCTTTTCTCTTGTTGGGTTGATACCAATCGAGGAATTCAAAATCAAGATTGGGTGATTGAGCCCACAAGAATCTCCATCTGCTCCCCAAAACACTCGTTCTAGCGGCTTCCTTGGTGTCCAATAGAGAGAGTATATCAGCAATCAAATCATCTGATAATTGATCCATCAATTCTGTCCGAGAGCTCCGATTACCAGAGTGAGAAGAGACTGTTTGAGAAGGAGGGACGCGGCTATGAAGTGCAGCGGACTTACGGGTAGACAGAAGCAGCGATGCCTGCGAATCCATCGATTACCTGAATCGCAGAATTGATTCCTAGTGGATTACGGGCTGAGCACGGGTCGGGTTTGTCGGGTCGGGTGTGCGTACCCTAAACCCGTTCGGGTTTTTTAAGTTAAATACTAGACCTGATCCTTTGATATTTCAAATCGGATTTTTCGGATATTTGTAATTTGGATATTATCGGATATCGGATCGGGTTTCAGATATTTCGGTTATATTAAAAAAATATAATTGGATAATTAAAGTGTTTGCCACTTTGACAAAAATTAATACTTGAACACAATTGCGTAAATAATTTAATACAAATTGCATAAATAATTACACAAATAATTGAACACAGTGTTAATTTAACATATTCAAAGTACACACTACATAATTTAATATATTTCGAATATTTCAGTTATATTAAAACACATTATAATTGGATAATTAAAAAGTTGGAATGTCACTTTGACCAAAATTGTACACACTAGTGCACTGCACATTCAAATTACAAAAATAATTTAACACAAATTGCACAAATAATTACACAAATAATTGAACACAAGTATTAATTTAACATATTCAAAGTACGAGAAATCATCTCATCAGGCCGGCCTGACGGGCTGCCCCGTCCGGCCGAGCCCGTTTGGGCACCTTCCCGGTGGAATTTTTTGATGAAATTTTTTGAGCATGTTCCTCATCAAGTCTAGTTTGTCCATACCAAATTTCAGCTCAAAATTCGATCGGGAAGGTCGTCAAATGATTTTTGCAAGTTAACTGGTCCGGAAAATACATATTCCGGACCAGTTAACTTGCAAAAATCATTTGACGACCTTCCCGATCGAATTTTGAGCTGAAATTTGGTATGGACAAACTAGACTTGATGAGGAACATGCTCAAAAAATTTCATCAAAAAATTCCACCGGGAAGGTGCCCAAACGGGCTCGGCCGGACGAGGCAGCCCGTCAGGCCGGCCTGATGAGAAGAGCTCTCTTCAAAGTACACACTAAATTATTTAATATATTTCGGATATTCGGCCAGGTCGGGTTGGGATTTTACAAAGCCTACCCGCCACCCGATCTAGGCCCAATACTAATCGGATTTTCGGTTTCGGGTTTTTCGGGTCAGATATCCATTTCGGTTCGGATAATATCCAAAAAAAACTTCGGGTTTTGTGGGTTGGTTCGGGTTCTGCTCAGCCCTAAAATTCCACTAGGAGAGTTTGAGGACAGAGCTGTACAATAACCGAAAATTTTACTATGCACGTCATACGGCTCATATGGGCGAATGACTGGTCAAAGTGAGACACATGAAATAAATGGGAGGGAGGTAGTACAATTTATGGAGCTCAACAATAGATTCACTGATATCATCATATGATCAGTACAAAGTTGCTACTTTATGACTCTGTAATGCTCAAGTCAATCTAGGTAACTTGATTACTTGTTAACATCAAAAGATTGATTCAAATGGCTACAATTTGTTTGCTCGATTTTCCTAAAGTTTAACTCAGGCCGGGAAAGTGACAATTTATTTAGCTTGAAAGCTACTACCTCCGTCCCCCTATGTTTGGGACAAAGAGGTGTGGTGGGATTTTTAAGAAAAAGTAGATATGTGTGGTTGATATTAAATTGATAAAGTGTGAATAGTGTAAGAATGAATTGTAGCCACCTAAACATTACCAAATATGGTATGAGACAAACTTAATGGGACGGACGAAAAAGGTAAAACGAGACAAACTTAGGGGGACGGAGGGAGTATATATTTATATGGTCCCTCTTATTGTAGGTTTTCGAGTATATTAATGATGTTTGTTGACTTAGGATAATTGCAATTGCAACTATGGAAAGAAACTTCTTAGTAATAAAAAGTAATAAAAAGTTATAAGAACCTATTCACAAATCAAGTGACTTATAATTTATGAATCAGAATTTATTGTGCATATCTATTGTGTATGTTTTGAGATTGAACAATACTAATCAGAATTTAAAGACCAGATAAGAATTGGACAATATTATTACGGGAACTTTATGAAGTTACAGGACAAAGGGAATTTCAGTCTAAACGAAAACATCCTATTGGTATGTGCGCTGGCTGCAAACTTATGGGCATGTACCCTTGACAAGGGCTCACTTGCCCCTGCCCCAGGACTGGCTAACCCTGGAGTCGACAGGCCGTGGCCTTGAGCCCTTGACATGAGGGGTAAGCTTGGTGTCAATATTGAACATTTTAATTGATTTCACTGGTTCACTCTTTGTGTCTATTGAGCCTTTACAATGGTGCGTTTTATCATGATTCAGATTGGTTTTTATTATTTAGGGAACTAATATGGATGAATTTAAACTTGTTGAGTTTTAAACAGGATAACTCAACATTAAACCTCAAAGCTGATTTCAAATGAATATATACTACGTAACAATAAGAGCAACAATAAGAAAAACATGAATATGCCCTCCGTAAGAATAGATAGGTAGAATATTTTTTGTCTAAGTAAAGAAGTAATATTAAAATGAAGATACATTCCTCAAGTTAGAGCTGCATATATATAGAGACCTCCCACCAGGTAAATCATTAATTACAAGACAAAATAAAGATTATCAAGACTACATATTGCACAATAATAAATAATTAAGGATACAACTGTAAGATGTTCTTCACCATTGTGCCTTGTAGTCTCAATCCCAGCTACAGTTTTCCTTATGCTTAGTCACCCAGAGCCTTACTTTTGGTCTGTGTTGAACTGATTCATTGAACCCGTCGGTTAATCAGATAATTATACCCATCAAAACTAATATAGAGATGATATGTGAAACCAAAGTGTATATTCAGGCTAAGATAGAGAATGGATGGAGCCATGATTACCGTTTAGAAGTAACTAAGAGACATAGATATACTGTATAAACTATAAAAGTAACATGTCAGAAAGGAAAATTCTGCATAGCAGCGAAGTATAGCACCACTTTGATTATTTACAAAGATTTATAAGTGGTAATAAATCTTTAGTGTGAGAAGAGAGTAAGAGCTTTATGACTCAATGAAAAGGCTTCAAGGCACCATGCATAGCAATACCGGCCGAAGACAATATAATGTTGGTCAATCAGAGGAGGGGCAGGGTCGGTTGAGCTCATCGAGAGCCTCAGCCATGGATGGCCGTTGTCCAGGAATCTCATCTGTGCAATTTAGTGCAACTTTGATTAGCTTAGCAGCTTCAGTTTCAAAGAACCTTCCTTTCAGAACAGGATCGATCAAATCTGCAACGTTGCCAGACTCTGCCAGCTGTCTGGCTGAGTTCATCAGCACACATTTCCCTGATAGCACTTGAAGAATGATGACTCCAAATGCATAAACATCGCTCTTTTGTGTGAAGCGGCCAGTGGTGATGTACTCTGGAGCCATGTACCCAAGCCCCGCACTGACCTTGATGGCAGAATACACAACGTCATCTGCAAAGAGCTTCAAAAGGCCTGAATCTGAGATCAGTGGGTTGAAATCTGCATCAAGCAGGATCTTCTCCACTGATATGTTCTGGTGAACCATGACAGTTTTGTTGGCTGCTTCTGCATTGTGCAGATACACTAGACCTGTTCAATGGGAATTTTAAGTGACTTCACTTTGTTCAAACACAAAAATATATTATAAAGACTTCGGATTTCCTTTCAAAAATAAGACTTTGGATTTCAATCCTACAAAGGTCCTTTTATTTTCATTTTCATTTACCCCAGTGCCGCAAAGGCACCTACGATGGGGTAAGGGGGGTCGGATGTATGCAGTTTTTATTTCATATATATTAAGCTTGAAAAGAACTCTTCACTCTTCAGCACCCCTCTAAACCAATACTTTGTCCTGATGTGCTTTTCTCATAGGGGGGCGCTTCATGATTATGGTACAAATCAGTTCTTATAACATTTAAAGAATTGAAGTTTCATATTAAACGATCAACCTGATAAGAAGTACATGATCTAATATTTTTGCTTGTTGTTTCATGTTTGGACGCTATGGAACGAATTTTTCAACATATAAGTTTACATTTAAGGCATTTCATTACTCCTTTTATTAAATCTTACTTTTCTAGATTGAAACCAAGTCTTAATACACACAAATGGATATAAATAAACAAGAGTAAGATACTAAACCTCTAGCAATGCCTTTGATGATAGAAACTCTTTTAGGCCAGTTGAGAAATCGCCCGCTGTTATCCTCTTTTTGGCCATCAAGGTACAATGCCAACTTACCATTAGAAATAAAATTAAAGACCAAAAAGTATTCGCCTCTTGCTTTTGAGCAGCAGAAACCCTTCAGCTCGACAAGGTTATCGTGTTTGAGAGACATTAGTACACTCAGCCCTTTCATGAACTCAGACTGGTCAGACTTACAAGCTGTCACATTTATGCTCTTGATGGCTACTGGAGATCCATCCTTTAGTATTCCTTTGTAAACAGCAGAAAATTTGCTTTTTCCCAACAAGTTGTTATATGAGAAATGCTGAGTTGCAGATTCAACCTCTTCCAAGTTGTAACACTTGAACCCTACTAAACTACTATCATCATCCCCCACCAAACTACCACTTTTTGGGCTCATCCCCGCCTCCAATTGACCTGAATACTCGACATTCGCCAAACGTGTCGATGGAACTCTTCCACCGCCCAATTCTTTTGACTGCTGATCTTCATAATAAGACTTATTAGATGAGTCCTCGAATTTTTCTTTCTTCAGATATAGAAACATGGCAACTGCCATAATGACGAAAAAAGTAACAACAAGAGATACGGCCCCAACAGTAATGCCAAATTTTCGGAATTTGGAGGCGGAGGTGGAGGAGGAGGAGTCATCAGAGATTATCAATGGTGATGCTGATGGGGATGATGAATTTGAACAATGACTTTGGTTGCATGGCACTGGGGCGGGCTTTGGAGCACTACCTGAGGCTGGTGTATTATTGCCAGATCCAGACCCTCCTACTGGGTCAATAATGATGCCTGCATTATCCCAAGCTGTGCAAGCTCTCAGCATTGGCATTCCATAACCGCATAAGCCCAAGTTATTCTCTCCATGGAACATGCCATTGAATCTATTCAAAGCTTCACAT